TCGGCTCGTGGGTGTCTCTTTACTACACCGACTACGTTGTAATGGCTGGTGCGGGAGGTTGACTTGCGGGAGCGCCGGGGACGACGCTCAAAATAGGAGGGAGGCTATGTAATTCGATGGTGGTTTATCCCTTGGTATGGGTGAGGCACCACTCTTGTACTTTGAACTAGCTCTCTTGTATCTCGCTGGGTGGGCTTACCTTCAGGCCATGCCAATAGCCCAAACACCTTCTCTGTGCTGAGTATGTATTTTGCCTGAGTACTATGACTTCTTTCGTCTTCAGGAAGTCTCGGGACGCTACAATGTTATTCGGGTAGTGTATAGGTCTGCGGCTTCCGGTGTGGCCATGCACGGGTTTAGTGGCCTAAATACGCAAGTAGTTTTTTGCCAGAAATTGGGAGTTGAACAACCAGCCAAGGTTATATTGGGACATTTGGGTGAGGTGGAATCGACTTGGTTCCTTTTATAACCACATGCAATCTTCGCAAAATTTTAGTGCTACAAATGTTGGTTTTAGTAACAATATAGGAAAAGGTCCCAGCGAGTATAATTTACCTGCACAAGGCTTAGCAACCACACGTGACTTACAATGAAAAAATTTTGGGCCTCAATCATCATAAACAAAATAAAAATTTTTAAATGAAATAACTTGCACAAGAAAACCTAAATTTAAGTGCGAATATTTGATCTAGACTTATATATTGTTTTTATGCCTTGTTTATCTAACGGAGCCAGCTCTGAAAGTCGCTTCAGGCAAGTATTTTTGGTGGTAGTCTTTGGTTCTCGCGTTGTGGACGTTAACATGCGAACTTTTTTCTCATTATCTGAACCCCTCACGTATACTTTTTCACGAGCATGCCCGCTCCTTGGCGTTTTGGTTTGCTGGGCTTTCCTGGTTTTTTTTTCTGATTCTGTACTCCATTTGAGATTTAGATTGCTTCGTGTTTTATCATTTCCTTCCACAGTGAATAGTACTTTATGTTCGTGATCTTTGGTTAAAATGGTTGACGTCCGTACCAATGTGATCAGAGAAGTTGAACACGACGAGGGTGAACTTAACAGCGAAGAGGAATCTCGGGAAAGTAGTAGTGAAGGCTTTACGACAGATGGAGAAGACGATTCTAATGAGGTTTGTACATTTTTTTATTTTGGCAGTTGGTTTGGATGCAGCCGTATTGATTTCTTCCGATTCTTAGGACGATCGGAGTGATAAGCATCAATCGTCAACTGAAGAAACGCCTTGGGAACGTGGACTTCGGCTTGCTCGTGAGGTTAGACATAATAACTATCATTCTTGATTATTTCTGTCTGACAATACACTTTTTATCATAATAGGGCGTTGAGCTTAGTGACTAATTAAATTTGTTTATTTGTTCGGACATTGAAGACTTACTTTTTTCCCTATGTTTTATTTTAAGCGTGCCAAAAAGGCCAAACTGTTGCGCCAGTCTGATGTAGATCTGGAGGACAAAAAACTTAATTTTACTGTCGTGGCCCCTGATCCCAACGAAGATGACGCCTACGCCGATGTTTGCGACATAGGTCGTTCTAGTCATACTGATACCTTGTAAGTTTCTGATTCCCGATTTCGCCCACTTTCTGTAATCGCTTTATCTCTACCCTTGCTTCCTTCTCCTTTCTAGCTGGCTTAATTACCACAAACTAGCCATTATTGGCTCCACCCAACTGACCTGCGAACGCAGTCTGCCCTGTGATTTGAGTCCGCCTTCGCAGCACACAATGGCTCGTTGGCGTAGACGACTTTCTAACGCTCGCGCAAGATCCTCTGATGCATCAGCTGCCTCCCTTTCCTCCTCCACCGCCTTCTCTTCAGTCTCCTCCAATTATGGTTCTCGTGCTTCTTCTCTCTCCTCCCTCGCTGGTTCGATTCTCCTCGCAGTGCCCGATCTCGTGCTCGCAGACGACTCGGATCGTGAGGAACAGCGCCGGCGTCATCGCGGTGGTGGGGGAAGACGCGGGAGCAGTTCTAGAGGCAGCAGCGGCAGTAGTAGTGAAAGCAGTAGTGGTACTGGAAGTCGAAGTGGACGTCGTGCATCAAGTAGTAGAAGCACCTCGCGCTCCTCTTCGAAGGCAAACCAGAAAAATCAACAGCGGAAAGAGAGCAGAGGCATCTATTCCGCCTCCTCATCTTCTTCCTCTCCATCTCCTACTCCTGCGGCTCCTAACGCGTATTTGAGGACAAGGATTCGGTTGCCCGGGAAAGATGCGGCACCTGTAGTCTCGCCTCGATCGAAGGATGAGGATCGTGAGTTATTTTTAATATCCTGATTGCTAAATTGTGTTTTCTACTGAAACACTTAAGTAGCGTTCCTTTTCCCTATTTTAATAGGCACCTTGAAGGGTAGACGCCCTCCGCTAGTGTCTTACGCGGACCAGCGTCATGCACCACCACCAGCTGCGCCTCAAATTAGTGGATATCATCATCAACAGAACAGCTTTAGCAGGAGCGCCTTCAGAGATGCCGAGAATGGCTCTAACTATTCAAATCGGCACAGCTATGGTGATTCAAGTCGCTGGTATGAGCCATCTAAAAGGTTCGCAACTTCTTTTCCTTGTTCACCTCATTTGTTTGGTTGTATGCTGAACATTTGACTGCATCAATTGCTTATCAAACACTTCAGGTTCAGACGATATCCACCATAGATTAAAGGTTTGATCTAGCTACGAACCACCCTTCAAGGAACTGATTACGTACTATACTTCATCCGTCACTGCATCAGACAATTTAGAAAGCGTATTTTCCAAATAAATGTTCCCTTGATTTTCCACTCAAGTGCCATTTTTGTCATAACCCTCGTAGGTACTAATGCACAGTTCAATCTCCGCTAGGGTTACAATCAATAACTAAACTTCAACCTTTTAGGAGTCCTGACCGCCCTCCTCCGATGCCTTCAGAGAGGCCGGTGAAACGCCCGTGGGTGGCCGAACCACCAAAATCCAAAGGTAGGTGAAATATTAAGTCGCTTGGGTACCAACTTTTCTCATGGTGTATTGGAATGTAACCATTTCTTTTAAGTACGGCTTTTGAACTGTCTAAAAGGCTCGCAGCTGCGTCAGCGTTCTCCTCCGCCACAACCAATAGAACCACGCCCGCGGTCGCGTCGGTCCCGCTCGCGTTCGTGTTCCGTCTCGCGCGGGAGTTCGCCGAGGGATGATGGAGCGGGACTTGCCACCTACATCACGTCCTGGTCGCAGTCACGTGGTCGTCAACACCCCCCTAAACCCACCCCGCCTGATGTCGTTCCGCCGCAGACTGTGTCCTCTCCGTCTAGGAAACGCGGTATGTGCCTAGCTCTCCCCAAACGTTATGGGATTTTCATTAAGTCGCACAGAATAGACTCTCCAAATTGGTTTCTACTCTCAGGTCGTTTTATTGTCCTGATTCTCTTCCAGTCGTCACTCAAGAGGGGTATTGAACTTATTTTTTGGCATTGAATGTCTCCCCCTCGATTTCGTCAAACTTGCAAGCCTTGCCCTGCACCTGTACTTGTAAATGCGGATTCAAAATCGTGATAAGAGTTGCTAAAATATCTGGTTGATGTCTGGGCGTCTTGTGAAGTCGCGATAGTCTGCAGAAATTGCCTAATTCACCACGCCTTTCGGTACTTCCCTTAAATCGTGATTTGGCTATGACATTGGATGCGTTTCAGTTTGCTAGGCATTGCATGCTTCGGCTGTGGACACATCAAACTTTTGGATCTAGCTGTAATCACGGGTCCGACTGATCCAAAGCAAGAATTGGTGCTTACAAGAATCAGTGTAAGAGGCCATATATGGACAGCTACTTTGACATATTGTTTTTCGGTGTCTTCAGTCGCCTCTTCTCGCCGCAAGAGCCGTAGTCCCTTTGCGGACAGTTACTTTGGCAACCCACCAGCACCGGCTGAAGTGCCATTTGAGCAGTCGGTGCCGCTGTTGGCGGGCGCAGTCAATCCTGCTGCTCCGCCTCCCAACGCCCCAGCCGCTACCAAGGCACTTCCTTCCGCTTCTGCACGTCCCGGCGTCAAACTCAAGATTGCACCTCGTGTTAGAGTGAGTTAAGCCCTTACCTTGTTCAAGGTCTTGAAAAGCCAAACCTTAGAAATTGTCCGTCGTACTGATTAGCGAAATAGGTATAGCTGGTTCTATCATTTGCGAAAAGAATATTGACATATTTCAAGGTTATTCAGTATTCACAAGTTGTGGATTTAGAATCGCTGGTGGCAACACGAAGTTTGCTGGGTTTACCGTTTTATGTGGACCTTTATTTAACTAATTTTGCGTGATTTTATCTATAAGGCGCCCCTTTTTACACCGAATGAATATATAACCGCAATTGCGACTTTTCGCAGAGTGGTCTGGTGTTGCCGGAAAGTGCATTAGAGAGAGCACACCGTGACAATGATTACAAGGTCGGTGGTTCGCCTATCTCCTCAGCCAGCAGCGGTGGCGGCGGTTGCGGTGGTCGAAATGGTTCCCTTTCACCAGGCCGACGGGATAAGCCCAGCCTCGCGTCTATTAGCGCGGCAAAACGTATGCGCCACTTGGGGTATACTGCGGTCAGTCCGGGCGGCTTTGAATCACCACCGCCTCCTCCGCTCACCTCACCCCCCTCTTCTGCCGCTCCTGCTCGCCCCTACTCACAAAGTAGAAGGTTTGAGGCAGACGAGGCAGCTAGCAGAGCTCGAAACAGGGCGCTCGATCAAGGCAAGATTCCAGTGTCTATTGTTTAAGACGTCTATGACTGAATCGGTCTAGGACGCCTTCATTTTGACGTTGCCTCCCAAATGGTGGTGAATCTGTATGCTTTCTCAGCTTTTGTAATCATTTTGATTCCGTAGTGAGATGATTTTCTCTGGCTTCATCAAAGTAATCCTCTGGTGGTTGCTCCATTATTCTGTCCAGCACTGTTCAGCCGTTCTGCGCTGATTAAGAGCAGCTGGCTGTCTGGGTTCCCAGTGCCCGCTAACCTCTCGACATTCGGAACGTTCGTGAAGGATTGTGCTGTATTGACAATCATTGCAGAAGGATTCGTCCCCTATTTAATTTTACAGCGAGTTACGCTTTGATTGGGCAGGCGTCTTACGCACTGACTGGATGATCATAGGATTCTTTACTGAGGCCGTGGGCTGGCCTTGGGACCATTGCAGCTGAGATCGTTACTGACAGATGTACAACTATTTCTGAAACTTGCACTTCCCAGTTACTTTAATTTGATTGTCCCCAAACTGCGGTGCGCTTGAGGCCCTCTGTATGCATCAGTGGGTTTAATGCTTTCGTTTACTAAACCTTGGTCTTCACCACAAGGTGTTCCATGCAACCATGCACTACCACTGTTTCACTACCTCCTTGCGTAAAGGTGTCTAGATGGGCTCAGGACATGTGTCAGTTGACTACTGTGTGGTACCTCCACGATAGTGTTTTTACAGCTCTAAACCTAACCGTTCTGATTTTTCTTGAATTTCCATCGTATTGAGCTCTTTACTGTGATATAGCCAAAAGGAAGAGTTATAAGGATTCTTGTATATCTTCAAAATGTTATAATCTACTTATTTGTCGGGGAGTCTTTATTTGTCCTGTAGTTTCTGCACTGTAAATCAGAACATGTTTGTCGGTCTGTTTTTCCGTCGTCTGGACTCTGCACACAGTTGCGTTTTTTATTTAGAAATAAACATGTTTATATTAAATTCTTCATGCTCTATCTGCATTTATCTCGGTTGGAACGTCGTTGTAAGAAGCGATTTATCAACCCTAGGTTTATTTATTGCTACGGTTGAAGCAACATCAAAAATAGTACGAACACGGTTTCGTGACTTCCTCGGTCTTTACAAATGGCGTAAACATTGGGCTCTCCTTTTGGTCGATTTATTTTACCGAAAATGATTTTCTGGTATTAGCTGGAATTTCTTCAAAACGGATCACGTTTTGTGGCACAAGAGATAGGCTATCAGAAGCGCATTTAAACCTATGATTTAATGAATCATTACCGATGCCCTTGGATTAGAGCAGCATTATTATTAAGGGCAATGGGACTTTTCGGTTGTGGAGCTAAAGCTCCATATTACTATCTTTTCAGGTCGTTTTGATGGTCATCGTAGTCGCACTGGTGGAGACTACCATGATCGTACGGACCGATTTTCCCGGAGTGGCCAACCCCACCCACCTACAGAGCGGTATCGTGATCGGAGATTACCGCCACCACCACATGAAAGATTCGATCGTCGAGGATTGCCCGACCGACGCGTCCCATCCTACGATCGAGGTGAGTTGGATATTCCCACCAACCATTTCTTAGTAAGTAGCTGGTAGTGGAAATCTTAAGCGTTCAGCATCCTGACTACCTCTTCACTAATCTGCTCTTGATGTATTAATCATTTCCAGACTTCTTTAATATTCCTTCATTGTTTTACATATTCATTTCATATCTATTCGTCCTTGCTAGATCCACCTTCTCGGCATCCCCATTCTGTTCATGCTTTTGGATTCATTCATCCATTGCGGATCCATCCGTCCGTTGATGCGTAAGCAATCACAAGATGGGGTCCCAAACTTTCTTAACCATCCGTCAATCCACACACCTCTTACATCCATTCATCTTTGCATGTTTCGTGCATGTCGTACCGTTCATCTATGGGCATCCATTCTTGCCAGATCTATTTATCCACCCGGTACTAACTTACTAGTGAAAATGGGATATCATAGATGCATTCTTCCCGAGATTAATCAATTATTGGGACTTTCTTCACAAATTTTTCGATCACGGATCTGTTTAGGGATCTGGCTAAATTACTTTACACTGGATTTATGCAGTCTTCTTGCCCTCGTTCATTTGCCCTTTTGAAACGCATGCATTGCTTCATCACAGATCAATTTCTTCTTCGCTGTTGGCAGACTCTTCTACCAAAATAATAATTTCCCAACCGTCCATTACTTCCTTCTTTCCGTCATCCATCAATTGACAGCTGAATAAAGAATAGAAATGATAATTTCAGGTCGGTCGGGCCGAGAATATATCAGGGACTCTCGGTACGGACGTTCTCGTGGGGAGGACAGAGACGTCGGTCGCTCCTACGGTGGTGGTCGCCACGGTGGCACCACCCGTCGTCAAGGCAATACGGCCAGATCGCGCTCTCCCTTCGAGGGTCGATCTAGTGGAGGGGATGGTCATTTCCACAGCGACATGGCCACCGAACAACGTCTCAACGAGCTGCGTCGACGCCTCATTATGGTGGATGACAAGATTGCCGAGTTGGGTGGTGCTCCAGTCTCTGAGCGCCGATGAGATGGTGGTGGTGGTAGTGGTTCCGTTGCCTACTCATTGTAAATTTCTGCCACTTTGTAACTGTGCGAGTGTGTTGGTTTTACGATATGAATACAGCCTACTTGCACATTCTGAAATGATGTCTCGTTATCAATTGTTTCATTCTGGGTTTGATTTTGGGATGATGTGGTGTTTTTTGGGACTTTCGCTAGCATTTGTCTCCTTTGCATTAATTTTCCCATCCTTTAAAGCCCATTTTTTCGTTAAACATTAGAGAGCCTTTCCGAATCTTACGCCCCGACTCAGTGGTTCTACATCTGTCTTGTTATTTTAACTCACCTTCCTGCTTTCGGTTCCCCAGTGTTGTACCTTGGATCTGGTAAACTCACCGGAACGAATGCTTTAGTCTACTGAGGCCTCTTTTTTGGTCACTAGACTGAACGCGAGGCTTATCTAGGGATGTGGTCCATCCCACTTTCTCATCCCGATCTACTGCCGCATTGTTCACAATTCCTTCACGAACACAGACATTAAAGGTGTCAGACTTGGATTCAGAATGATTTGGCATGAAGTTGAAGATGTCCTGGCATTAATTTGCCTTTCTAATTAACTGCCTCTTTACTCATTGCAATCTCAAATTCATTCTCAGGATGATGTGTTAAGAGTTCGAGAAACCGCTAACATTGGCGCGGGAGTTCATCAAAGCTGGTTCCTGCTACGGGCATGAAAGATATTTGATCAGCCATATTTCCACGCTCCATGATAGTGTTTGTTCGCCTACGATTTTGCTGAAACGGTCGGGGAACTGGTCAGGGTTCCTTTTTCGGCCCTACCAGGTTATCCGGGTTTGATTAAAGAATGTTTTGGTATAAGCTGAGCACCTGGTTCACATTATTTCCTCCATCTCCCAGCTCTGGTTCCCGCAATAGATGGAGAACAAGCTACATCTACGCATTGGTGGTAAATCGAGTTTTCCTGACCCACGGTATTCCATCAACTTGAGGTCCTTGGTAAGCAAAGTTCCGCTGATTCCTACGGTAGGTATAAAAGTCTACCTGTGAAAGGAGGTGCTGTTTATTCTTCCACTACCTTATCATTTATCACCACTGCCTGGAATGCGGTTTTGGAGGTGGGTTGGGAAACTCGACAACACCAATCTTTAAATCAGCTGAACCGGGTTTCTTTGGTTAGTGTCGAGGGGTCTGCCCGCACAAGGATTCACAATTTATCCGGCTTTTGCATTCCATTCTACTTTGTTCATCATTAAGGCCGGATTTGACTCCAAGTTTGTTTCGCGTAGGTAGGGAAACACCGACAATAGCCCTCTGCCTGAATGGAGACTCTTCAAAGTATCAATGCTGCTTCCTGACAAAAATTTTCGAGAAACAGTTTTCACAAGAACGTGTGTCCTTATCACCTAGTTACACCGTCTGGTTAGTCATTATTTCTTTCTCAATAGACTTCCTGGATTAAAAATTAAAACATTAAGTCTACACTGCTGAAGGTATTTTCTTTAACAGATGAAGAAGTCGAGTGCGTAGGAATACACCATCCATTCTGCTTGCGTATTCGGACTCACCGCCCTTTCATTCATTTCCTTTCTGTTGGCCTTTCTGGATAAAAAGGATTCCATCCATTTGGATGAAGAGCTGCGGCTTGAGCTCTGCTGACGTTCCGACTCAGTGCCTACTTATTCATCATTCATCATGGATCAAACCCTAGAATTTCACTTTTAATCCATATTACTTCGATGGATGTGAATCCATCCACTCCTCAGATTGTC